GCGGGAGCGCTGCCGCACTCTCAAGCGGCGCACTGTAGCAGTGCGCCACCGGGCCGGCCCTTCCTATGAAAATTATTTACTTCACAGAATTTTTAATAAATTTGTGACATACATGTTTACTCAAAGACTGCTTGAGATATTTTCAGTGTTTTCCTTTTTCCACGATTATTGATTTCTTCTCTTCTTATTCTCTGTCTTTATGTAACTAGACCATATTTAGTTTTAATTATAATTAACCAAAAGTAAGTATCTATGCTCTCAGTTTAAAAAGAAAATTTTGGAATTTGAGACGCTTTCTGAGAAAATAATGCTCTATTTTATTTACCTTTCTGAGACTTCTGAATTTTACCAAAGTTTAATTATCTAAGCTACTTTTATTTATACATTTATCCTTTTGTCTGGGCAAAATATACACTGCAGCTTCTAATAGTCAGTGACAGTGATTATTCCATATATATAAGAAATATTTTAATTTATTTATGAACTTGGAAGGCAGGCTGTGCTAAGTTTAAAATTTCTGTATAAAGTTTTATGAAAAAATATGATTGTATTTAGTCATTATTAATATGCTGTTCTCTAATTAAAATTTAAAAAGTGATTTCTTGCCACCTGGTGTATATTTTTTAACTTTGTGATGTTACTGTCATTTTTTATTAAATTCATCCTTTTTTATCATGTATAGTTATATGTCATAATAGAAAAGTTGCCTACTTTAAAAAGTTTATCTTTCAAGAACAGAATATTTATTAAGAAAGACCTTTATAAATGTAATAATTCAATTCTTTTCACACCAAAGTTTTTATTCTGGAATTTTTTAACCTATAGTAATTTGCAAAAATACTACCAAGGGCCGGCCCGGTGGCGCACTGCTACAGTGCGCCACTTGGGAGCGTGGCGGCTCTCCCGCCAAGAGTTCGGATCCCACATACAGACCGGTTCCTGCTCACTGGCTGAGCGAGGGGTGGGCGCAGCACTGAGGGTTGCAATCTCGTTGCTGGTCCCGGTCCAGTACGGGCGTGACACTGAGGGTTGCGGTCCGTTGCTGGACACGAAAAAAGACAAAAAGGAAAAAAAAAAGAAGAAAAAAAAATACTACCAAAAAACACCCATATATGCTTCATCTAGGTTAACCAAGTGTTAACATTTTGCCATGTTTATGTGTGTGTGTGTATTTATGTTGTAGTTGTTAAATTATGTGAGAGTTACTTTTAGCCATCGCATTTCACCCCTTAATGCTTAAGCATCATCTAAGAGCAAGGACATTCTCCAACACAGTAGAAATATAGCTATCACAAGTGAAAGTAGTACAATAGTCTTTGCTATAATGTACATTTCCAAAAATGTTTGAATAATATGCTTTATAGATTATAAATTTTTTTAAATTGAGGATCTAATCAAGGATCACACATTATTTTTAGTTATGTTCCTTTGGTCTCTAATCTAGAACAGTTTCCCAGTTATTCTGTCATTCACAATATTTCTACCGATGAAGAATCTAGAGAGGCTGTTTTGTAGAATTCCTCAGTTTGGATTTTTATTATTTCCCCATGATTAGGTTTAGGAGAAATCTTTTTGTCAAGGACATCACATAGGTGATCATGTATCCTTCTCAGTGCCAGATTACAAGGCTCATGATGTCAGTGTGTCACATTGTTGCTGGTACTAAATTCGGTGCCATGTTTAAGGAAGTATCTGCCAGCTTCTTCATTTTAAAGAAACTTTTAGTTTTGTAGTTAATAAGAAATCTCTTGGGTGTTTGATACTTTTGCTTTCAAACATGACATTTCACCCATTACTTAACATGTTTAATAGAAAAATAGTATTTTATCTATTTATAAGTTTCACTGAAAGAATAAGACAGCAAAGGAATCAAAAAAC